GGAAATTGCATTTGTTAATATGTCTCTTGTTTCTTATAAATTAGTGGCACAATCTTGTCCTGGAAGAAAACCATGCTGGTCTTTAGTGATTAGGTTATTTACGATGCAATGCTTCATTATGATATCGTGAAAGAAACTCTCCATTACTTTGCAAGAGACAGATATTAGGGATACCGGTCGATAGTTAGCTTTTTTTGTTTACTCCCTTTTTTAAAAATCGGTGTGATATTTGACTTTCTCCATAACTCAGGTATATGACTTTCAGCAAAAGACTTTTGAAATATGAGTGTGAGTGGCACAGCAAAAGCAGAGGAACAGTTTTTTAACACCCGGGGGTGTACTCCATCATGACCTTTGGATTTCGATTCTATTAGGTTTTTGCGCTTTTCCCTGACATATGATTGTTTTATTGAGAATTCGTTTATTTCGCATTTGACTTCCGTTCTATTTTTGAATTGTGGCATTTGTTCTTCCATATCGGTGATGAATACTGATTGAAAATATTCGTTTATTATGTGGGCAATTTTTTCTTCGTTCGTTGTAATTTTATCTTCATTATCTTTCAGAGATCTTATTGACTCTTTGTTCATTTGCTTATGCCGTACATATTCATGTAAGTGTTTAGGGTCTGATTTAAATCAATTTGCAATTTTTTTTTATATGCCTTAGTTGCAGATTTGACAACCTTCATCACATTTTTACATGCATCTCGATGTTCTTTTTTAATTACCTCGCGAGAATTATTTCCTGCCTTAGGATATTTACTCCAGAGTATTCTTTTTTTTTTAACTGCCTCCTTGACTTCTGGTGTGTTCCATGGTTCTTTCTTTTTAATAAATGGTTTTGTAGTTGATAGGATGTACAACTCAACAGCTTCGTTATACCTGTCGATGAATACTGAGTAGTTATCGTTCATCGAAAAGTTCTTGAATAGGTTGTACCAGTTGTATGCTAGTATTCGTGTTGAAATAGATTTATAGTCTGCTCTACTCCAGATATCTTTTATTTTTCGAGTTATTTTTATTTCTATAGTTTATTGTAAATGATCCAATTATAAAACAGTGCGATTGGCCTGCGGGTGTATGACCTAAAGAGTCACCCTTTTCTATTTCCTTGATTCTGTCTCAGTCATCTGTGATAATAAGGTCAAGTGTGTTTTTTAAATCCTCTTTTCTGGAGTTACGATACGTTGGGAAGGTCACCACTTGAGTGGTGATAATCTTTTAACAGACTCTAATTTAATGCAATGTTTATAACCTCTATTATTGAATGCTGGACCTGGTGTATTGATTTAATGCATTTGTATCTGAACTTTCTTCATATCAATAGATTTCAAACCTTTATATAATTTATATTGTTGTATAAGGTCACCTCTAAGTCTTTGACCTTCTAAAGTTGTTAAATCTGATATTTTTAGTCTTTGATTATATCCCAGATGTATTAATCCTGGTATCAATTTAGTTGCTCTTCGTTGAACTTTTTCAAGCTCTTTGATATCTTTTTTATAATAGAGATTCCAAGCTTGATTCTCAAACTCCAAATGAGGTCTAAGGTATGTGCAATAAAGCATTTTTAAGAGATATTTATTTTTATACCTAAAAGTATTATTTAATCTTGCAAGCATATTGTTTGCTTTACTGGCAGCATTCCTTGCTTGTAAAGACAAGTAAGGAATGGGAAAGCCCATTTCGAATCATTGGATATATAAATACCTAAATCTTTTTCAAGAGTAGATTTTTCAATTTCTTTTAGTTCACTATCATTTTTCATGAAGGAAGAATAGCTTTTATTACTTGCACCAAAATGCATTATTTTATATTTCTCAAATTTCAAACCCAGTTTCCAATCAATAGACCATTTATCAAGTTCATTTATGTCATTTTGAAATAATTTTGAATCAACCTTGGTATAAATAGGAGCAATTATTTTATTGTCATCATCATACATACAACATTTATTAAGAAGTCTGCTTGGTAAATTGTTTATGAATATCAAGAAAAGAAGTGGGCCAAGTACAGAACCCTGTGATACTCCACTTAACACATCAACTCAATTTGCCATGCTATTTCCCATCGCTACATTTTGTTTCCTATTTGATAAGAATGATTCATTACATTAAAAGGCATACAAACAATACTGGAAGCATAAATCTTAGCACATAATTTTATGTGTGATACTCTGTCGAATGCTTTTCGAAAGTCGGTATACAAAACATCAATTGGAATACCATTTAATAATGTGCATTAAGTTATTTAAATCATTTTTTTATCAACTTAACAATAAACTTTTACTTTTTATACAAATTAAAAGATTAAATTTTAACAAATCTGAGTTTGCATATAAAACTAATTTTGCTGTTATAGAAATTTTAATAAATTTTTTTTTTATGTCACACTGTAAATAACCCCCTTCCTATTCCATGATATTTAGTGTCACTTTTTGGTACCCCTCCCACTCTAAGACTGCCATATTTTTATTATCTGAATAACCCTTTATAACAAGAACACAAACAATATTGTGCATTATTTTTTATGGTATTTGAGATAAGTAACTTTTAGACATAAATCAAATCTCAAAACTTGTGTGCCCCTCTCCACCCCATTATGAGGGCAACAAGTTACTGAATTTTATACTCTTGTAAACCAAACTTATACTCAACAAGAAAATGGGAGATATAGCATGGTAAATCTGCAATACAACATGGTAAATCTGCAATAACAAAAACCAATTTGCAATGATTTCAGCTGTAGTGGTAGTGTAGATTTCAGTGATTTCTGTAGTACACATTTACTTTATTTATTTTAAGAACCATGTGAAGTGAACAATTTTTAGCATATTTACCTTTTTTAATTTTTTTGATTTGCTAATTTTAATTTAAAATTAGCAAATCAGATTGCACATATCTTATTCTAGTAAAAATATGTGGGTAACCCATTGAATATTCTTATTATAATTCTGTTTCATAATTTTTTTTTTGTTCTTTTGTACATTTTAAACAGTTATCTATTATAAAATATGCAATTTACTAGATAAAATTTGAACATATGATAAAAATTAAAAGAAAAGATCATTATTAACAAATAAAAAATGTCACATATTGAAATTTGTTACATATATATTAAGATGTCACATATATATTGAAATTTGCTTGCTTTATTGACATAAGCAAGTAACAATGTTAGTGTCAACTACATCAAAAATATAGAAACTAGCAATCAATTTTTTCTTCAGGTAAATTTATTTAGTGGGTATGCCTTGTGACAATACAAGGTGTTTTGATAAACATTGACAAGTAATTGGCCTGATAAATATCAGTTATGTATTCACAGTATGTTACAATTGGTATTAAAAATATTGAAAAAATAACAACTTTGATGACAAGAAAAAATAAACAAAAAACCATTACAGTGTTAGAACTATTACAGTATTAACTTTTATACAAAACATCTTTCGACTGAAAAATGTTTTGTATCAAAAAATGAAGAAATATTCTTTCACACGATTGTTCCAAGAAACTATAAATTAACAAAGTAGCAGGTATTGACTAGATAGTATTATCATAATAGGTTTCAAATCTAAATAACATGAAACTCCATTTTTCTATAAATGAAAAGCACAAAATCGCAACTCTTGTTTTGGATCCAAAATGTAAAACTTAAATAATGGCAGTAGATAAAAGAATTGCTAAAAAAATGATAGCAGATAATGTTAGTTTAAGATAGATAATGTTAGTTTAAGATAGATAATGTTAGTTTAAGATAGATAATGTTAGTTTAAGATAGATAATGTTAGATAAGCTTTTTAAGAACCTACAAATAATTTAAACAACATTGTTAAAAACTTATTTCACACCCAGCGCTTAAACATTTAAAGGGTCCCCAATATTTAAAAACAATTTCATTTTTTTAATGAAGCCAAATTATATAAAAATTTTTATAATAATAATTGTTTTATAAAAAACATTTAAAAAAAATCATTAAAAAAAAACAAAAAAAAAACATGTAAAAATGGACTTTTTTCATTTTTAATAAAAAAAAGTCATTTATGCAGTAATATCTATAACAATATTTTTATAAATAGATTATTATATTTGATACTTTTAAAAAACTTTTTTTAGTATTTGGGACCAGTTAAATGTTCAGGGGTGTTGGGACCCCAAAATATATATATATATATTTAAATTTTTTTAAATCCAGTATTATTCTATTATATAGAACACATTTAGGTGGTGAGAGCAGAAATAATAAAAACAACTGTTTTGACACCCTAATGCATATGTATTAAAGTACCCTAGGTACCCTACTAGGATACCCAGGTATCAAAATAGTTTAAGATTATAATGCAATTTACAAACAATTTTCAAAATTTAACAATTTTTATCAGCATATAACAGTCTAGATAAAATGTTAATTTGTTTTATATGCAAATCAGCAAACTTCTTAATTAGAACAATTTGCAGAAACTAAAAAATCAACTCATCACATGATAACATATGAACTAAAATGTCACACTTTAAAAATTTTAATAAAATTTAATCCCAATCTGAATCTGTTTAAATAAAATTAAAACAGTCAAAACAAGATATTTGTTTAGGTTTTTGTTTTTTGATTCTTAATGTCTATGACAGTTTCTCTATAAAAATAAAACAATACTTTGTTTATCTTTTTTTTTTAATCATTATGTTCAATAGCATTATTAATGCATATATCATGCTTTACATACAAAATATAAAATTTATAAATGAAAATAAAATTAGTTTTTAAATAACTTTCATTTTATTGTACTTTTAAATAAGCTTAAAATAGAAATTTATGCTCTTTATTAAAATTAAGATGTTTAATAATTCTTGATTATTATGATCATCATGAAAATTATGACACTATTTTAAAATAATATAAAATAATAATTTAAAACCATTAAATTACTATTTAATGATTTTAAATTATTTTTTTACTAATAACTTAAAAGAATTAGTTTACAAATAACACTTAGTTACAAACCTCCTGCTGTCTATCCTGCAAATCTTCACTTTTTCTTTTTAAATCATCCTGTGTTATTTTGAGTAAATTTATCAACTCTTGAATTTTTCTTTTGTAGTCATTTTCCTCCGATAATTTATTATTATCAAAACTTTTTATACTTTCATTCAATCTTTTTATTTCCTCTTTTAACTTTGATACAACAATGTCATTTTCTTTTTTTAATACTGAGATAACAATGTCATTTTCTTCTTTTAATGTTGATAAAACAATAGCATTTTCTTTCTGAAGAAAATACTTATATTTTAAAAAAGTCATATTGAAAACCACATAAAACATTTCTATACAATTGTCTGAAAAATAATTAATGTAGTAGTAGTAGTAGTAGTAGTAGTCGTAGTAGTAGTAATACAAATCATAGATTGTCAGATTACAGTTAGTTTTTGTGAAGCTTATATTGCAATTTTCACTAAGGAAAGCTGCAAGCTGTAGTAACATTAGAGATTATCGAGGCTTGGTTTAAAACTGTTGACATTTGGAGAATTGATTACTTTATCTGGTAGCATGTTCCATGCATTGACAATGTGATTGTTAAAAAAGTGGAAGCGAGCTAAATGGTTGCTGTACTTTTCACAATGAAGTCTTTTTCTGTGGTTTGCTCTTGGTGGAATTGTGATGAGGGGAAAGTACCAGTTGATTATGTCAATGTTATTAACAAAATTTGTATTTTTGGATGAGATCAGCTTGTTTGCGACGTTCAACTAGAGTATATAGGCCAAGTTGTAAACATCTGGACTTGTAGTCTAACTTTTTCAGTTTGTCTGGTATTTTTATGGCTCTGCGGTGTATTAGCTCAATATTGTTCATCCTTCACCAAATGAGGGTTCTAAGCTGGAATTGCCAACTCAAATAAAGGACGGATGTAGTTGGAGTAAAGTTGTTTCCTTAAAGAAGCATCACAAGACTGGAAAGTGTGTTTTAGGATGCCTAGCATTTTATTTGCTTTACATGAGGCAATGATGGATTGGGTTTCTACTTTAAGGGCATTGATAATTTGAATTCCAAAGTCATGCTCAGAGGTGGTTGCTTCCAATGTAGTTGGAGTCGTTATTGAACGAGGGCATATTTCCTCCATTGAGTACTTGAAAGGAGTTAATTTTTTTTGGCCAAAGTGCATGACCTTGCATTTCTTTGTATTTAGCTTCATGAGCCAAGACTTAGTCCAATGAATAATTTGGTCAATATCTGATTGGAGTTGAAGTTGAGCAGCAAGTGAGTTGACAATGCTCAGAATTTTAGTGTCATCGTAGATCTTACAAATGTTTTCTTTGCTTTCTTTGTGGAACTCCAGTTGTCACAGGTAACCAATTCAAATGAGTGTCACCAAGGATGACTCGTTGAGTCCTGTTAAGTAGGCCTGTAAATCAAGCTGAACATGCCAAGCTTGCCAGGGCTCAACTTGTCTTGTTTACATATTAAGAGTGTTCTTCAGGCTCGGCTTGAGCTCATTTCGAACGTGAGATTCTTTGTTTAAGCTTGGCTTGTTAAGGATTAGTATTGTTTGGGCTCGGCTCGTTTTACATGTTGCTCGAGCTCAACGGGTTTAAAACTCGAAATAATTATTGTAACCGGTTAGTTTAAAGCTCGTTTAGTAAAAAAAAATTGTTCGTTAAAGGCTCGTCTGTAAATAATGCAAGTCCAAATCAACAAACAACATAAACAATCCTACAGTCTATTAAACATGCAAATAAACAACATAATGAAATAAGATTTCACAAATCTAATAATTCAAAATAAAAGTTAAATCTAATAGTTCAATGTATATATATTCGAGCTTTAATTGAGCCTATATGAACGAGCCTATGATGTTCAATCTCGGCTCGTTTAATAAATGAGCCTAATTTTTTGTTAAAGCCTGGCTCGTTTACCATTCGAGCTGAACATGAACAAGCTCTTGTCAAGCCGATCACCGAGCCGTTCACGAATATGAGCCAGGATTTACAGCCCTACTATTAAGTTGAAAAGCTTTTATCCAATTGAGAAGATTACCTTCGATTCCGTACATTTTTAGTTTGTAAAGCATTCGTTGATGTGGCACTTTGTCAAATGCTTTGGTGAAATCCAAGAATATGATGCCAACTGGTAGTTTTCTGGCCAAATTTCCAGTTAAGAAGTTCATTGTTTCAAGGAGATTTGTAATGCATGCTTTTTTCTCTAAAAAGCCATGTTGACTATTTGAGTTGTTGATTTTAGATGCTGCATGATTGCCTTCTTAACTAGTTTCTCCATTATTTTACATGGAATCGAGGTGAGAGATATTGGTCTGTAGTTTGATGGGTCGATTCTGGAGCCTTTCTTAAATAAAGGTGTTACATTTGCTTTGGACCATGAGTTTAGAATTTCACCATTGTCAAATGACTTTTGAAAGATGAGTGTAAGTGGAGTAGACGTTGAGATAGAACAAAAGCGCAAAGGACGTGAGGACTGACACTGTCTACACTAATTGATTTAGATATATCTAGTGATGAGAGTTCCATTAGAGTGGCCTGAGTGTCAAAAGTTATGTTGTTGAGGATTGTGTTAGTTCTACAATCAAAATGGGGAAGATTGCGATTGGATGGCTCTTTGCTAAAAACTGCTTGAAATTGATTGTTAAGTGAGTTAACTATTTTAATTTTGTCAGAGGTAATGATTTCACTGGAACTGGTGATTCGTATAGATGAGATCTGATTTATTACAGAGCGCTTACTATTTATGTATGAAAATAGTCTTTTAGGGTTGCACTTATCATTTGCAAGAGCAAATTCGAAAGATTTCAGAGAAAAACAACTTAATTTTTTAACAAACTTTCTAGTTTCTCTATATTCCTTAACCAGGGATGCAACTTTTCATTTTGAACTGACGTTACGAGCCCACAGCAATTTTTTAAGACGAATCAGGGATAAAAGTCTTTTGCCATCCATGATTGTTTATTTGGGGACGGTTTGTTCGGCATGCAAGGAATGAATTGAAGACAACATTCATTGAATTTGTTTAGCTAAATTTGGTAACATTGTTCTATGTTTAATTCTTTAAAAATAGATGACCAGTCAACCTTAATGAATTCTTTGTTGATTTTTTCGTAGTTACCGAGGTTGTAAATAAATTTAGAGCTGTTGAAATGTGATAATTTTCCAGTGGAAGCCAGTTTATATTGCCAGGTGATAGAGCAATGATATTGATCAGACAACCAAGTAGAGGACCAATGTTGACTTCGTTAGCACAATATGGAGAGTCACATATTATGAGATCAAGAGTGTTTGTCATAGGGCGATTACCAGATTTGAAAGTAGGGACAGTGAGAATTTGGTAAAGATGACAATCTTGAAGAAGAGAGACAAATAAAGAACAGAGACCGATTTTACTAGAGGAGAAGACTGAATTGGAAGTCCAAGTAATCTCTGGGAAATTGAAATCACCAGCAATGATCATACCATCGTATTTTTTGGTCGATACTGATGTTTTCGCATGAAAAATAGCACTTGAAATCTCTGAGAAGGCTTTGATACCAGAAGATGGAGGTCTATAAATGGAGCCTAAAAGCAGAGTTTCAATCAGAAGCTTTAGTTCGACCCATAATTGTTCTGAATAGTAACAAATAAAATTTTTGTGTAGTAGGGATTCCTGTAGTTGGATTGAGATGATTTTATTGTTTGTGTATATAGCTACATCTCCTCTAATTTGGTTTAGACGGTCTGAACAATAGAGGTTGTAGTTTGGAAGAGATAGAGTTAATTGGTCGTTGAACCATGTCTCAGTTATAAAAATAATGTCAAAGGAGTTGTTTTCTGCAAGTAAGAAGAGTTTGATGAGTTTTATTGGATTGAGGGAGGTAGCATTAGTGTAGAAGCACAAAAGATTAGATAATTTAATGGAAGAACTGACCTTGTTTAAAAATTTTGAACTAGTAAGATGCTGAGAGCCATTTAATGGCCTCAGCTGCTGATTTCCATTTGAGGTATGGGTTCCTCACTTTTCCATTGATGTTAACTGTTTTGGATGTGTCAATGCATTTGATTTTTTCGCTGCGGATGACAAATCTGCATCAATGCGTTTGTCAAGTAAATCTTTCGCCAAAAGTTCTGCATTTTTGGAAGCATGCTTTTTGTTCAAGTTGTTGAATCTTTCTTGTTCAAAAGGTGTACGGTCTGGACGAATATAGACAGATTTTAATTCATCTATTTGCATTAGATAAGAGATCATTGCGGTGCTCATTGGAGTCAAACTCAATGATAATCAATTCATTTGGTTCAGCTGCTATTGTAGTTAAAACTTTAAAATTTAACTATTATATAAACTAATAAATATGTTCTTTACAATGATGCTTAGTTTTTAGAAATGATTGTTTCTTTTTTTTATAGGAAATGTGAAGATATTACTATCAATGGCAATAACTCTTGAAGCACAAGATATTTTTCATATTGATCCTATGATTAGATTGACACCATCTTGTACACCACTAACTTCTTCAGCTGATAACCATAAAATTGGTGATCTAAACTCACTTTTACCACTAATTCATCCACATAAATTAAAAGATAAACTAAAAAGTGTGACATCATACTCCGCAAAAATACAGATATTAACATTAACACCAGAATCATGGTCACTCCCAAAATGTATTTTCAAAGTTTTGCAGTCTTCGCCCAAGATGGTATGTAACCACAAACTTGTCTAGCACTCACAGTGTTTGTGTCTGTATCTATCATCAGAATGTTGTCAACTGATGTTCTAAAAATTGACAAAAATTGCAGAGATTTAATGGATTGTTTGCAATGCATTGGGTAGGGATGCATTGTTTGCAATAGGCATGCAAACAATGCATCCCTATTGCAAACAATGCATAGCACATGTTACATCAATGTCCATTATTTCCTGATATTACTGCTTTAAAAGAATTCTTAACAGTAAAGTTTGACAACAGTGATAAAGAAATAACAATTAAATAATGGCAAGGTACAGATAGAACTACACTGATCAATCAAAAAATCAATATTGAAGATGTTATTGATCTTATATAAAATAAACTAACATCTCACACACTTATAGCTAAAGGTCAGGCCAAGTATTTTAAAGACTGTAAAGAGTTAATAAATCACAATGAGTGTAAAGTATTGCAGAGAACTTTCAAATTTATGTTCAGAATGAGGTGCAAAGTTACCAATGGAATAAACCAAAATGTACACTTCATCCTATTGTTATATACTATAAATCAAATGGTAAACTAATATTAAGTCATTTTTCTTTCTATCTGATGACGTATAATATAACTTTGAGTTTTTATAAAATATTACATTTCCTGTATCATAAATAGATGAATTTTTACCTAAACACAATAAAAAAACACCCACCTCCGATAGATTTTCAAAAAAGGTCACTCCTAAATCAAAACTAGGTATCGCCATACAATATAAATATAATACTGCTTCTTTTTAGCAATATTATTAATACTGTTAAATTTTAGAAATCATAGAAATGGTCATGTTTCGACTTTATATAATGCAAGAACTTTTACTCAAAGAAAAATTCAGAAAACCAATAGAAAGGCAAGCAGTTCAATGATACCAGTTTCTTTAAGCTGAAAACAAAGGATGAAAGGAAAAAATCGTGAACATTTTTAAAGAAACTCAAGGTTTATGAAAGAATAAACTAAAATTTTCTTATTATCTGATCAAGTAATACAAACAAAACTTTCATGTGTAACATGAAAGTTTTGTTTGTATTACGTTTAACACATTCATGGTAAGTTAAAAACTTATTATGAATGTGTTAAACAAAAAAAATATGATGCATTAGATGAACTGTTTGATATCACAAAAGCTAACAGAGTATGGTTGTCAGCTAAAGATAAACAACTCTATTATCTATTAGTAAAAATTGGTTATGCTAAAGAAGTAGGCAAAGAATTAATTTATCTTTCAAAGAGAAGAAAATAACACAACAAACCTTCTATATCAGTATCATTCAATCTCTCATCTAATGATAATGATAAGGAGTCCGATAAGTCAGGAGTTATAGAATAGTGAATATGAAAACAATGATGATGGCAATGATGAATATATTTGCCTACCAAAAAGGAAACATAACAAGAGTTAAGTTGCTGTAAACTTAGTAACATCAACAACAGTATCAACAAGAAAAGCTGCCAAAATTTGCAAGTAATTCGCACTCAATGGTGTTAACATTCCAATGCCCAGACAAGCTGGAGTTTATAAGTCAGTATCTAAGGAAGTTTCTAAACTGAAGATAGAGATGATGATAAACTTAAATACTGAATATTACTACATTTTAATGAAAATATAAAAATGAATGTCAGGTTGTAGTATTGAAAAATGAAAGGATGGAATTGAAATTAGCTGCACTGTGCTTGAAGGATAGAAAGACAGAAACTATTACTGATTTTTGAAATTTTGAGTTCTTAAGGATTATAATTTATGGAGTGCGGTAAAGATGACACAACCAGTGTTAACACTGGCTGACACAACCAGTGTTAACACTGATAAAAATGGTGTTGTTGTGGGTGTGAACTTTTTTCAAAAGATATAGAAATAACTAGTTGTTTCTTTGGTTTTGAGTAATAATTCATCAAACTGACATACAGGAACATAAGGTTGTAAAAAAGTTATATCCCTAATGTATATAGATGTGTATATATATTAGGGATATAATTTTTGATATATGTATATATATTAGAGATACAACTTTTATATATGTACACATATATATTATTTTTCTATATGTATATATATTAGGGATTTAACTTTGAGTGCTGTTACAAAGTTTCCCGTACAGAGTATTTTTTTTTTTTCATTTTGCTGCAATAATGTAGCACTGGGTGGCACCATGTAAGGAATGAGTTGTTATTATTTATTTTTATGCACTTGGTGCCAAGTTTAAATTGACTATGCTGTAAACTAATTATATTTATGTAAAACTTTCTAAGTTTTTTTCTGAAGTTCTTGTGACATAGCCCCTTGGAGTTAGCAAAGTTAAATTTTCAGAGGTAAGTAAATTTTGCATTTAAAATTTACTAGCTATGCATTTTAAATGTAGTATAGTAATATAATAAAAAAACTCTGAATATTGTTAAACATTAAATAAAGAATATTGTTAAATATTTTTCATATTTATAGTTGTAAAAATTAAAAAAAATTATTGAAATAGTACATTTTAGGGGAAAATTTAAAGATTATTTGCTATATCTTATAAGATATTAGGTAGAAACTAGTTTTGGTGTTTATTTATTGTAATAATGTTTTTTTTAGCACTAAACAAATTAATTCATTGCACAATTCATTGCACAATTTTAAAGTTTTGACTCTTTTTACTTTTGCCTGGTTCTAAAGATGAACTTTGGGCTAATCTACAGAAGGCCTGGAGGAAAATTACATCACCTATCATACAAGCTCTTGTTGAATTCATGCCAACAAATATGAAATATATATATATATATATATATATATATATATATATATATATATATATATATATATATATATATATATATATATATATATATATATATATATATACATACATACATATATATATATACATACATATATATATATATATATATATATATATATATATATATATATATATATATATATATATATATATATAAATATATATATATATATATATATACATACATACATACATACATACATACATACATACATACATATATATATACATATATATATATATATATATATATATATATATATATATATATATATATATATATATACATATATACATACATATATATATATATAAATAATATATATATATATATATATATATATATATATATATATATATATATATATACATACATACATACATACATATATATACACATATATATATATATATATATATATATATATATATATATATATATATATATATATATATATATATATATATATATAATTATATATATATATATATATATATATATATATATATATATATATATATATATATATATATATATATATATATATATATATATATATATATGTATGTATGTATGTAAAGGATTATGCTTGTCAGTATATTGAAAAGCATAATCCTTTACACAAAGCAAGATAGACTGTATTACAAAAATTGAATCAAGCAATTTTTATGTTATTCCTAAAATTAATAATTAAATCATCAAAAAAGCTACTAACCAATATGAAACAATCTAAAAGTCCAAGATTCTAGTGGGCTACTTATCAATATGAAACAATCTAAAAAGTCAACCCACTATTGCAGGAATTGATTCATTAACATCACATTTAAGCCAATATTTGCACTTAACTTTTTCTCCTATTGTACAGAAACAAAAAATTTATATAAATGACAATTGGGATTTTGTAAAAAAGATTCCTAAAGAGGTGAAAATAGATAATATTACCTTGTGACATTATTAACCTTTACACTATCATTCCCTACAATCTTGGCTTAGAATAATTGAAATTCAGAGCTGAAAAACAACAAGATCTAATATTCAAACAATTAACCAATAATTTTATCATAGAATCGACATTCTCTATTTAAAAACAGTAGCTTCTTTTTTTAAAGACCTTTTGTTTAGCCAAATTACAAGTACAACCATGGGAACAGACTTTGCATTATACTAGGCATGTCTTTTGACTGGCTCCTCATAAGAAACAATAATTTTCCCAAATATTTTATGTAAGGATTTCTCAAAAGACAAAGTGAAAAGTATCCAACAATTTCCTTTTAGATATTGATGATGGTTTTAACATATGGCCAAAACATTTAGATATAAACAAATTTAAAATATCATTCACTGAATTTAATAACTCAAAAAAAACAGTGTGTACATCAAAGCAGGGTTTAGCTAAACTAAAAAGTATGCCTGAAAAACTGTAATTACTCTGAAAGTGTTATAAAAAAAAGCTTTAATGTGTAAATTAAAAATAATTTTAATTTAATGTTAAATTTTGTAAATATAATGTATAACTAAATATTATACATAGTATAAATATTAAATGATATATTATATATAATTTACGCAAACAAAAGCAAGATACCTTTAAATAACATTTTCTGTTTAAAAAAAAACAGACAATGGCAACTCATAGCAACAATAGCTTAATTTGATTATATTTTTGTTGCAAATATTATAAATTTGTGAAGCAGCAATTAAACTGATAAAACTTTGAAAGACCTCTAGTACTTAACATTTTGTTTATACTATGTTATGTTTCTACATAAATCTTTTTAAGAAATAAAATCTTTTTGAATTTATACCACAGCTTATATAAATATTTATACCACAGCTTATTATGATCAATTCAAGACAAAGTCTACTAAAATACTAAGTAATATGTTTGTTAAAGAGCACTCAATTTTAATATTATTTATAGATAAAATGTAAGATGAAGAAACATACCCCATGTTTCATTTAATTAAAAACCCAATATTTGACTAGTTTAGTTTTCTTTTAAAATCAAAACACAAAAATTATTACCTGGGCAACTTCAGATTTCACTATCAACATTTTAACCTTTTCATGACATTTGCTTTGCATTAAATCCATTTCTGATTTCAGCTAAAAAATCAAATAACTATATTTAATCTGTTAAAATAATCTGTTAATCTGTATAAAACTTCAAACTTTAAAAAAGCACGACATACGAAAATGGAAAAACAAACACCATGAAATTAAATTTATTAATAACATCCTATTATTATATAAATTATTAATTACTAGAAAAACTTATAATTATCAAAATATAAATATATTATAATATAAATTCTATAAATAATTGTAATAAAATTTTTATATTATTTAAATTTTTTTTTTACTTTCAGCTCACGCTTCAAAAAACATTCACTTAAATCATTGATTATTTGTTTATGTTGGTTATCCATTTCAATTTTAAGCTAAAATCAAAAGAAAATATGAATAAATATCATCATCATCATCATCATCATCATCATCATCATCATCATCATCATCATCATCATCATCATCATCATTATCATCATCATCATCATTATCATCATCATCATCATCATCATCATCATCATCGTCATCTCCATCATCATCATCATCATCATCATCATCATCATCATCATCATCATCATCATCATCATCATCATCATCATCGTCATCTCCATCATCATCATCATCATCATCATCATCATCATCATCATCATAATCATCATCATTATCATCATCATCACCATCATTGTCATTATTATCAAAAATTTTTGATAATAATGACAATAAATAACTTTAAATCATCAATGTTTTTTTAAAATGGAAAAAAAAGCTTTTTGAACATAGTAAGAGTCCTAACTAAAAAACTTCAAATAAATTATTATTCATTTAAAAAAATTCCTTTCAATCTTTTTTTTTTTCTTATAAGAAACCATATATAAAAATCCATTGCAAAATCAGCATCTACTAAGTTTGCATCTCTTTATCATGATCCCCATTTTCTTACTCAGGATTCTATTCTTTATCTTTGTAAATCTCAAATCCATGTATGGAATACTGTTGCCATATCTGGAGCAGATCTTCAAATGAAGTCCTTTTTCTCTTTTAGACAAAGTGCAAAAATGCATTATAAACAGTTGGACCTGCTCTTGCAGGCAACCTTTAGTAATTGCCACATTATCATCGTAATGTTGCTTCTCTTTTTCTCCTCTATAAATACTATAATGGGCACTGCTCTAAAGAGCTAGTGTCTCTTGTGCCATCCACTAAAATTCATTCTCGTCATTCAACTTGTCTCATACTTTTACTGTGTCTGATTTTAAGTGCTCTAAAAACTTGTCTTGTTTTTTTCGTTGAACATCAGTTCTTTGGAAATAAACTTAACTGGAAAAAAAAAAGATGAAATAAACTTTATCTTTTCTCTTCCAGTAACTTCCAACTATAATAGTGGTTGCTTTTAGATATGAAAAATGCCTTGTTAGATATGAATAATAGTGGTTGCTTTTAGATATGAAAAATGCCTTGTTAGATATGAAAATGTTTGGAAAAAAAAAACTTCAAGAAAAGATTGAAGTAGTATGCAAAAATTAGAAAAGCATTGAAGTAATTAGCAAAAAACTAAAATTATTATGTATTTAAAACTGTATATTAGATAAAATTAAAAAAACTTTTGTCGTTTTTTTTAATTTTAAAATATAAACATATAAACATATATACATATATATATATATATATATATATATATATATATATATACATATATATATATATATATATATATATATATATATATATATATATATATATATATATATATATATATATATATATATATATATATATATATATATATATATATACATATATAAACATTATTATACCATATATAAAGGTTAATATAAACAATTTTAATTTAAACGCAGTTAGATTCGCCTTATGAGATTCATTATCAATTGGCACACAAGCTGAAAAAAAAAATATGAATGTATATTAAGAAATGTTTAGGAAGTATCTATTCATTATCAATTGGCACACAAGCTGAAAAACTTGTTTAATGCTTTGTTAAATGTTTTTCATACCATTGCATTCTAAATTTTTTTTTAAACATCTTTGCTTCCAACAAGACTGCAAGCAGCCACTAACTAGTGTTGGAAGTTACTGGAAGAGAAAAGATGAAGATTGTAGAGCAAGATAACGATTGACAGACGACTTAAAAGATTATATGAATCAGGAAAGCAAGATGAAGGAAGCGAATTCCAAAGAACTGATGTTCAATCGAAAAAACTAGAGCAATAAGAGTTCTTAGAGCACTTAGGAACAGACGCAGAAAAAAGATTAGACTTAATTGAATGACAAGTAACACGAGAATAAATTTTATTAGATGGTACAAGAGACGGTAGCTCTTTAGAGCAGTGCCTATTATAGTATTTGTAGAAAAGAGAAAGAGAAGCAACATTATGACGATGTGATAATGGTTGAAGGTTGGCTGCAAGCGCAGGTCCAATTATGTTTACAATGCATTTTTGCACCTTGTCTAAAAAAGATAGCGCATCATTAGAAGATCCGCCCCAGATATGGCAACAGTATTCCATACAAGGTTGGATTTGAGATTTATAGAGATAGAGAATAGAATCCAAAGTAAGAAAATGTTGAGATTAATAAAGAGATGCAACTTTCCCAAATGCTAATTTTGCAACAGATTTTATATATGGTTTCCAAGAAAGGTTAAAAGAGTTAATCCTAAAAGATGAAGAGTAGATGACTCATCGAGTACATTACCATTTATAAATAAAGAAAGGTCTAAATTACTACGATAATTGGCTAAAAAAAATTGAGTTTTATCTGAATTAAAGTTCACCAGCCACTGTGAGCCCAATGCTGTAGCAGAAATATAAGATTTCAAAGAGAATAGCTTATTGAAATTTTAAAATCTTTGAATAATAATTGAACAAATACAAGATTTCAAAGAGAATAGCTTTTTGAAATCTTAAAATCTTTGAATAGGTCATCTATACAACATACTTGATTTGCTAATAGCAAAAAAATGCTGATAGTCAAATAGATAAGACATTAGTATTGAGATAATTATTAAAAAGTCAAGCCAAATGAAAATGTGGATGCATTCATTCACATATCATTAAAACTCTTGTCAAGTATACTAACAACAAAATCTATATGAAACATGGTATACAAAAGCAGCATCTGATGCCTCTATCAGGATTTTTAGGAAAATTAGACATCGACTGATTTTCCATGAAAACTGTCATAACTAGATAATGAGTCCTTCTTTACGCTGTTGTACTTGACAATCAACAACCACCCACTACAACAATGACAGAGACAAGACCCCAGCAAGTGTTAAATATTGTTTAGTATTTCCAAGATACTTTTTGTCCCCAGTGCTGTTCATTAATGTTCATCATGCAGATAGTAATTATGGATTTTGACTAGACTGGTTGTCCATTCAATGAATTATTGACTCAATAATTGAATTATGCCAAATTGTTAACTTTATTATCAATTTTGACAAGAAAGTTAACAATCAACCAGCCATGCTAGAATGTAGCCCAGTCAAACAACACTCCCATTTTTAATTTAATCTTTAGCTTAAAAAGTAAGGGAGTAATTGCCCTTAAAAGTCAGTCTGATACAAATCTGTCAGATTTATAGTAATCAACTGTTACTAAAAGTTTTATGCAAATTGTATAGCAAGATTATGTAACAATTGAAATAATTGTTTAAAATGTCAAGTCAATTAAGTTAACTTTCTTGTTTTGTCAGTCAGTAAACTATTTAATATGAGGCTAAATTTTGATAGAATTATTTTTATTATTTTTATCTTTTATTATTACAATTATATAACAATTAATTAAATAAAAAATAAGAATAAAAGTTTTTACTTTATTATACTTTAAATTAGCTTTCAACAAAAAAAATATCATTGTACTTAATTGAAAGCGCAGTAAATTGACATACATTTTCTTGAAAACTCAATTGTTCAGCATGTCTTTGCTTCTCATGTTTTGATTCCATTAAAAGACTTTGTACTTGTTGTTTCATCTTTGCAAAATTTAAATCATCCAATATTTTAAATAACATTTGTCAAAACAAACAAAAACAAAAATGTTATAATAGCAATAAAAAACCTCTTCTTGTAATTTTTTTGAATCAAGCATCTTTTCATCCAAATATTCTTGCATTTGGTTAACTTTATTTTGACCAGCTAGTATTAGTTTTCCTCTAAATAATCAACAATAGTTTAAAGAAAAAAACAAAAAACAAAAACAAATGCAAACCAATTGCTATCCCAACCTAAACCACTCACTCAATGTATTTACTGAAACTCTCACAGCTCCCTATTTCAGTATGACTTTAGATAGCTAAGTGTGCAATCGTATTTGTTTATATATATATATAAATTTATAGGTCAGATTTCTGCAAATTAGTATTGTGAGCTGTATTGAATCTTTTAAAACTATGTTGTGAAGTTCAATCAGAAGTGACCTACTTGGGAAAATAAGCATGTTATTTTGATACTATATACTTAACTTATGTTACATCACTTACATTACCATCCAATTATTAATGAAGAATTCCACTCAAATCAATTTATATTGCTGCAATTGATAAACTAGTGGGCTGATAATTTATAGAAAATCAGTTTATTGCTTGTAGCAGATGAAAAAGTAGTCAAACCCATATAGGTTCATTAGTAGTTCAATAAACTTATGTGTGGCTATTGTGCATTATATATAGCTAAAAATGTGGGAGATTGTGGGAAAGTCTTTACATTTAACACCATGTGTTTTTTCCTAATTATGGCATAAAAAATAACTTTAGTCAATTTGCAAGACTAGATCAAGACTGATTTGTTTAATTTAGATATGCAACTCAAGGAGTTGAAAAACTATTTTTCTTTCTTCCTTAGAACATCCTTTGAAATACAATTATTATTAATTAAACAGCCAACAGTTTCAATAGTGTTAAAATTTAATTGCATTAAAATATAAACACTTATTATTTTATACTTAAAATACTGTTTATTAACAATCGTTAGAAGTCATTATTTAAAAGCAATATCATTTGTATTAATGGAGGTATATCTTACTTTTTTAGGTTACAAAACGAAAGAATTGTAATTTAAATTCCATTAATTCAAAGTTTATGCAAAAACTTTATGCAAATAATTTATGCAAAAATATTTTTGATCAAAACTTTTGAAAGCTTAAGAACTGTTAAGAAAGTTTAAGAAAGTTTAAGAACTGTTAAGAAAGTTTAAGAAACTTTAAGAACTGTAAACAGTTTTTTCTCAAAGAGTAAAAGCAAACTAAAAATATTTTTTATCGTGTAAATAATAAAAACATTTTTTAAAAAGCGCCAAAACCTTTAGGTTAATTTGCTAAGTTTCAACTTAGGTTACACAAATTCAAAATTAAAATGTGCTTTTGTTAAGCATAAATATTCAAAATATTAAAGGGATCCCAAACTCCCAACACATGTTGTGTTCATATTAAAGATAATATTGAAAAAAAAGGTTTGAACCAAGTTTGAAAATTTATGAAAGGATATGTGAGATCCTGGTTTTGCATTACAAGTACAACCAATAACAGCACTATAAATTTTGATTATAAGTTTACTGATCAATATTTTATAATCATCAAATTAACCCTTTATGGTACAGTGTAGCCAAATGGCAGCACACTAGTAATGAACAGACAACTACTATTGTTTTGTTATATCATTAATTCTTTAGTGATTTCCCTTTAATTTATCATCTTTTCTTGCATTTGACGTCACAACTTTTTGCGTACATTTTTTTAGCAACGCGTTGTATTTCAGGAATCAGCAGCACGGCGCCTTGTTTCTATCATTTATAAAAGGTCGGTTTATAAACATATTTTATATATTTATTTGATCAAAATTTGCATTCAAAAAAATATTATCATTGTTATGATATCTTCAAATATATTTATACGTTATAATACACTACTTTTATACATATTATTTTGAAATATACGGTTTAAATGCTGTGTAGCCAAAAGGCAACAATGCGCAACAGGAGGGTACTTTTTTCAAAGATATAGCACCTCAACTTTTTATAGACCTATTGATTGGGTCCTTTTAATTTTTTATTTTTGTATCATTTATTTTATCAGAATATAATTTAATTTATGATATGTGGTAACTTTGACACAAAGTTTCTGAAAATAAATTTTATTAGAAATACAATTTAGTCAATTTTTAGTAATAAAGTAGGTTAGAAGTTGGGGCATGTAAAAGCTTAGGCTTAGGACTACATTGTAAAAATATGTCAACTCTAAGTACCAAGCCTAAGCCGAATCCCCATTGATCTGTTTATATTTTTCTTGTAGATGTAATTTAAAAAAAAATTTACTTTTTTGTATAGGTATTATAATAGAATAAAAATGGATCCGGTCACGCTCTACGGAAAGTCTAAGAAAAACATTATCATCAGAGAATTACCCAAGGATTCAGAGGACAGTGAGCTATCTTGTGAGGAAGATGAAGTTGAAGAGGATCACAACTTGTCAAGTTCTGATAGCTCAAACTCTGATGGTTAGATTTAATTTTCCCATCTAATTACCATAAAATCTTGTGTTTAGGCCTATAATATAAGCAGCACTAGTCTCAACACTGTTATTTTTTTTTGGGGTAGCATTTTCAAATGTTTTATAAATTTACATTTTTGTAGATGATGGTGATGCCGAAGAGGATGCTCCAGCCAGCAGCCAACCATTAGCCAACAGCTCAAGGCCTCATATTTGGCGAGAAAGAACTGATCATGCTGATCGGTCCTCAGATATACCAAATTTAATTGGGACAGAGAGAGAACCTGGGCTCTTGTGTGAGCCAATTGAATACTTCAGGGAAATATTTACCAAAGGAACCTTTGAGAACATCGTCACAGAATCTATTTGGTACAGCTTACAGCAGGACATTAATAAACCTGCCAATATTACAATGGACGAGCTAGAACAGTTTCTAGGGATTATCTTTTATATGAGTGTAGATTGCCTACCACGCTCCAGATTGTACTGGAGCCCTGATACAAGAGTTCATCGTGTGGCTGACCTATGAGCCAAAAACAATTTGAAAAAATCAAAAGGTTTTTGCATTTTTCAAATAATGAAAACAACAATGGAGATAAACTCCATTAAGTCAAACCACTTTTAGATGTTTTTAAGGCCAGCGTCAACAGCATTCAAAAATCAAAAATGATGAGCATTGATGAACAAATAATACCTTTCAAAGGAAAATCATCACTTAAACAATATAATCCTAAAAAGCCAAAGAAGTGGGGATACAAAGTTTTTGTGCGCTCGGGTAGCACTGGCCTCATTCACAATTTTGAGTTCTATGTCGGCCAAATCCAACCTTGCCATGGAAAACCTGATCTGGGTGCATCAGGCAATATAGTTCTTAGACTTATGCAAGATGTTCCTAGACATTGCTGGAATCAGGTATTTTTCGATAATTGGTTCACTTCTATTCCCCTCCAAGTGCTATTATGGAAAGAAGGAATAGCGAGCGTGGGAACTGTCCGTCCCAATCGTTTAAAAGGCTGCACATTTCCTTTTCCAGATCAAAAAAAAGAAGAGGTTCTGTTGTACTGAAAACCGGAGTTTTTGATGGTGTGCAGCTGAATGCTGTCAGGTGGATGGACAACAAATCTGTGACTCTTCTTAGTACCTTTGCTGCAGTAGAGCCAGTAAAAAAGGTCAGAAAATGGGACAAGAAAGAAAAGAAGGATATTGAGGTGGACTGCCCTTCCATCATTATTCTGTACAACGCCTTTATGGGTGGTGTGGACCTGTTGGATTCCCTGGTGGCATTATATAGAAACCACATCAGATCCAAAAAATGGTACGACCGAATCACTTTTCAAATCTTCGATTTGGCTGTTGTTCAAGGGTGGCTTCTGTATGCTTTTGATTTTTCTAAATCAGGTCTACCACCATCAGCTAAATTGCCACTGCTTCAATTCAAAATTAACATTGCTCTTTGCTTAATAAGACAGAATAAAACTATGGTGGCAAAGAATAGGGGTCAACCTTCTTTGGAAGTTGATCCACAACTGCAGTGCAAAAAGCAAAAGGGTCCTGCGGCTGTTGTTCCAAACTTCTCAATCCGCAATGAATTAATATATCTTTCTGCGACTAAAATATCTTTCTGCAAATAATTTGTTTATTCATTGTGTCAACCATTTGTTTGATTATGCATTTTGTCTACCATTTGTTTGTTTATGCATTGTGTTTACTAGTTTTTATTTGTTTGTCTGTCCAATAGGTTTGTTGCCATTTGGCAACATTAAAACAATTTTACCCTCAGTTGCCCATTGTTGCCAATTGGCAACATAGCTACAAAAGCATTACTTTGAAATTTAAAACAAAAACAAAATTTATTACATTAATTTATATCCCATATAAGATGTAAATACTGAAGGAAACATTTTTTAGTTGTTTTTTTCTTAATGTGTACTATATAGGGTTAAAAACATGAACAACATATATTTTTGCCCATTTTATATAATTAAAATTTAACAAAAATATAGACAAATTATCATTAACGCAATAATTAACACATTAATTAATAGCAATAATTCAAAATAGATGATAATTTAAATTGTTAAAATGTCATAACATGCATTAAAAACATATTACATATGGTATTTCCCAATTTATGTGTCATATTTGGCATTTGTCTTATAACAAATTTTTTTAATTTTATAACTTATAAAATTAAAAAACTAACAAAATTGACAAATACAAGTTTTCAAGCAATTTCCTCTTTCAAATCATATTTATTCAAAGAAAAGTTACAATTAAACTTTTATTCACCTAAAAAAATCTAAAAAAAGAAGGAGTGATGCAAAAAAAAAATATATATATTCTATACAATTCTTATTCATTCAAAGTTTAATTATGTGAACTTTTCTTACTCTTTTGTTTTACTCATTTTATAAAAAGAGCGCGCGATAAAATAAAAACCTTTCTTTCTTAACATAGAATTAAACTCAGAGATAAAATTAAATTAAAAATAAAATAACACCGAGCAAATCAACTAACAATCTGGGACTTTTAACACCAAGCAAAGCAACTAACAATCTGCGACTATTTTGATATTGATAAAAATGATCAACATAAACAAAAATAATAAAAAAAACCGGCACAATATTGCATAATTTTATGGGCTTTTCATTTATTGCTTAATAGTTCTAAATAATAAGTAAATTTAGTTTATTGAACTTTTTATTTAGTTATTTTTTTTTTTACCTACATTTGTAATAAAAAGACTTTAGAACCACCGTCATTAAAATCATTTGTTTTAAATATATTTTGACATGATTATTTAAACTAAATTTTTTTGTTTGACTTCTCGAACTTCATGCAAAGCAAATTCAGACGAAATATTGTCAAACCATATAAAAATGCTATTAGTAATTTTATACGGGTAATTAATATAAAACAATTTTTTATCAGAATGTTGATTAAGATAATATATATTGATCATTTATTAACATTTAATATAGCGAATAACAATTTAGAGCAACAAGCCAGCATAAAATGTTTAGGGTTTTTAATATATTTTTAAATGTTAAAAGTAGAAAATAAACAACTAAAAAAAAAAAGGAAAAATTTTAGAATAAAAATAAATAAAAATTTTTCTAGAGTTTCATTTTGTCAAAAGTCTACCGTGACTAAAAATACTAAATCTTTTATGAATTAAATGTGCTTCAAAGGAATTGCCAAAGCCTGTAGATTGGGACGTATAATTTAAAGACTCCAAGTTTTTGAGTAAAATGGAGAAGGCGAGATTGGGCTAAAACAACAAGATTAGTTTTTCTCGGTATGCATTCATTATTTATTTTTACTCAAAAAAATTTGGTTCAGACCTTTTTTTTCAACATTATCTTTAATATGAACACAACATGTGTTGGGAGTTAGGGATCCCTTTAAACAAAAAGCATAAGATTTAATATCAACTCACATATATTATCAAAATCTTTAAGTTTTTTGACAAAGCTTTGGGAAAAAAAAAATAAGTTTATCATATATATAACTTACATTACATGAAAATTGCAAAAGTTCTTTTGTTAGTTCTAAGAAATTTTTTTTGGTAAAAACAGCAAAATATTTGACTAGCTAATTAAAATCAAATAAATAATTATTATCAAATCTAAAAAAATAAAAAAAAATCCCAGCTCCTTTTGCAGAGTAAATTTAGATTATGCAATTAAATTCACTGAGAAAATAACATTTTACAATGATGCGTTTTTTATAATATGACGTTAGAAAGTAGGATGATTTTCAGGATCATTAAAACAACTTAAATAAAGTCACTTTATTATAAAAAGTGTACTTTTAATATATTTTTATGTGTCTATTTCAATACTCATCTATTAAAAATTGACAAAAAAAGTTATTGAAAACTGACTACGTTAACACTTTCCAGGATGGAATATATTAATACAAGACATTGTGCAGTAAAAAAATAAATAATAAGGTCCAGGGGGCTAGCCAAAATGTGAGAAATTTCATATTTGCTAACTACTCTGATAGTGTTATTTCTGAAGTTTATTTTATGCAAAGACACAAAGATTAGAAAGCAACCATCCAGAAATGCTAACAGATTTGCTTTTGTTATGAAATTATTTGAAAACAGTTATTAGATGCATAAAACCCTACTACACTGTGGAAACAAAAAAACTTAAAGAAGTTAAAAAAATGAAAATTAGATGTATAAATCCTATATTTTAATATCAAAAAATTTTGTAAACAAGTGTAATAAACATTTTGTATAAAAATTATTAGTTTAAATTATATTAGTAATTATATAAACATAGATAGGATCGGAAATAGCACCTAAGTGTAATCTAATTAAATGAATAATTAAATTTAGCATTAAAAACACTTTTGTTTTGCTTTTTTTAATTGAAATATAACTTTTAATTGGAATAAAAAATTTAGGCTAACATCAAAATCAAAAACCCAAAAATACACCAACTTTAAAAAAAATAAACTACTAGTTTACCTCTCAGCTCTCTGAACATCATTTTCTATTTTCAAGGTTTCATTTTCTATTTTCAAGGTTTCATTTTCTACTTTCAAGGTTTCATTTTCTACTTTCAAGGTTTCATTTTCTACTTTCAAGGTTTCATTTTCTACTTTCAAGGTTTCATTTTCTACTTTCAAGGTTTCATTTTCAACCTTTAAGGTATTAAACTCTTCCTGTGAATTTTTTTTATTTTCATTTTCTATTTTCAAGGTATTCTTTTCAAGTTTCAAATGTTCATTTTCTATTTTCAAGGTGTTCTTTTCAAGTTTCAAAGTTCCATTTTCTGCTTTTAAAGTATCATTTTCAAGTTTCAAGGTATCAAAGGCTTCTTGTAAAACTTTATTTGTATGAAACAAAACCTATGTTGTAATATTATTCTTATTAATTAATAATAAAATTAAGAAAAAATAATTTTGTGAATACATTTAATTGAAATATTTTTTTTATTACAGGCACAATAACCAGCAATAATTTAGGCAATACCATTTATTGAATCTCTTATCCCCCTTCTTCCTCCCCCCTCCTATACCCAGCTTAGTTGCTATAGTTGCACTGCATAAACAACTTTTTGAAATTCCATATTTGCTAACGACTCTGATAGTATTATTTCTGAAGTTTATTTTATGCAAAGACACAAACATTAGCAAGCAACCATCCAGAAATGCTAACAGATTTGCTTTTGTTATAAATTATTTGAAAACAGTTATTAGATGCATCAAAACCCTACTACACTGTGGCTACAAAAAAACTTAAAGAAGTTAAAAAATGAAAATTAGATGTATAAATCCTATATTTTAATATCAAAAAATTTTGTAAACAAGTGTAATAAACATTTTGTATAAAAATTATTAGTTTAAATTATATTAGTAATTATATAAACATTTCTTAAATGAAAATAAAAGTTTATTTCTTCATAGTTTTTCTTTTAATATTTTGTACCATTATGGAAATAATGGCAAAAAGAGTGAGTTTATAAATGTATATAGTAATAAGGAAAAAAAATTGAGGAGGGGGAGGGGGGAAGGAGGTTAAAGAGTTGTGCAAGATGATCTTTTAAAACTCTATTTACAACTCTATTTTTAATACAGACAAGAAGGGACAAAATGTTTAAATACATTATGCCATTTTACTAATTTGTCAGGTCAGGACAAATGTCAGGTCAGGACAATTGTCAGGTCAGGACAATTGTCAGGTCAGGACAAATGTCAGGTCAGGACAATTGTCAGGTCAGGACAATTGTCAGGTCAGGACAATTGTTAGGTCAGTACAATTGTCAGGTCAGGACAAATGTCAGGTCAGGACAATTGTCAGGTCAGGACAATTGTCAGGTCAGGACAATTGTCAGGTCAGGACAATTGTCAGGCCAGGACAAATGTCAGGTCAGGACAATTGTCAGGACATTTAAAATATTTAAATCATCAAATAATAAAACACATAACCTTCAATTGTTCCAAAACGTTTTTCTTTTTTTCTTCATTTTCAATCTAGAGTTGAAACAAATATATATTATATTATCTTGATATTGAATTGCCATATAAAATAATATTCACATATTTGGTAATGGTAAAGTAATAATAAAATATATAAGGTCATGAATAATGTCAGAAAACATATATAACATCAGAAAACATATAAAACATCAAAAACATATATCATGTCAGAAAACATATTTAACATCAATGCAAATATTTCATACGCTTTTTAAAAATCATAATCAAATTTCATCAAATTAGATTGACAAAAGAATGTTCCTTAAATAAATAACTATTTAATTAATTTTATAAACATATTTTATAAATATTAAGTTTCTTTCCACCAAAGATTCTTGTACAACAAAAATTTTTCTACTAAACACAACAACAACAAGAATAAACACAAAATCATTTGAAGTAAAATTAAATGTTATTATATTGTAAAAATAAATCTTTGAAATAAGCTTAAATTTATTTATTAGAATAAGACTGATAAAAACTTGCATAAGTTTGATGACAAGATCAATAGGTAAACAAGACCTAGCATAAGTTTGATGACAAAATCAGTAGGTAAACAAAACCTAACATAAGTTTGATGACAAGATCAATAGGTAAACAAAACTTAATGTTGAAATATTTTATGTAAACATTTTTGGTAAAAAGCTTCAATATTTAAATATTTTATGTAAACATTTTTAGAGGAAAGCTTCAAATTTTTTTTAATCATTTGATAAATTTAATTGTTTTTTATGTAACAACTAGTAGGATAGCCCACACAATTGTGGGAAGAATTAGTTGACATTTTAAATTAGCTTTAATTATTATTATTTCTTTTAGAACATATATTATTGCATTTCAGATATATTTTAGATAATAATTACATTAACATACAATAATTCTGCTAAAATACATGTAAACACAAATTATATCAAGGCCTCATGGTAGACGACATTGCGAGTAAAATACATTTCAGTTTTTGATTAATTTTCCTTGATTTAAACTGGTTTAATAAGCATTTTGATTTAATAAGTTTTAATTTAATAAGATTTAATAAGTATTTTGACTCCTGCTTTTAAAATTGATCTTAAGAATGCCACATAGAGTTGACCATGACTAATTCAGGTAGATATATACCAACTCTATCGAATGTTTGTCCTTGTGACTTGTTGATAGTCACAGCAAAGACAGGTAGAACGGAAAATGTTGCCAAATTAACGTAAATGGTAAATCATTCTCAGTTGGACTCATATCGATTCGGGGAAGGAAAACACTGCTATTTTTGTGTTTTCTAGTGGCAATTGTTGCGTGAATCAAGTTTTCAGTCAACCCCTTGATAATGGGCTATGTTTCGTTGCACAGTCATCTACTGGAATCCATACTTTTAAGGATGATAAATATTGCTCCTACTTTGAATTTCAGCTGATGTGGTGGTAATCCACTCACACTTAGCGAATTGAGAAACTTGGTAGGAAAGTTAACAATTTCTTCATTATCCTCAGACCCGATAAAGTCCATACTTTTGAATTCCATTAAGTCTTTACTTTGCCTCTTCTTTATCTTCTTCTTTACCCTTCTCGGGCTTTTGGGTGACAATCAGCATCTTTGACTCGCCATTCTTCTTTGATCACATCAACTGAATAGTTTCCAGATATGTCGTGATATGGATTTTGCTTTAATATTTCGGTATAGTAAAGTGTCTGTTCTTGATTAAAAATTTCATCTGCAATTTGGTTTAGCTTATTTTGGGTAAAAATAAAACCTTGTAATGCAGAATAGATGGTGTAAAGACCGAACAAACTCAAGCGCTAATTTTCATGATATAACTTCCTGTTACTCTTACGTTTTGAATCCTTGGATTTCTTTCCTAACTGAGATTTACGTTTAGCCATAACAAATATTTAACAAATCAGTTAATAAATATTAATAATAATTTGTTTATTACTAAATATTAATAATATTGTTAAATGTAATTAAAATTAATAAACATTATTAATAAACAAATACTTAACAAATCAAATACTTAACAAATCGAACTGCATTCATGCATTGCATTTTATTCACAAAATTAAAATTTGAACAAAACCCAATTAAAAATTTGAATATTGCTTGTGTAACAGAAATTTACATAACTTAGTAACGCAAATAAAAACGAATTAAAAATAGTGAATTTTTTTTTTTAAGTAAACTTTTTTTGCACTAAAATGACCGCAAGTCCTTATTAAATTAACTTTTAAAATTTTTTTATTGTCACGATCCTTTTTTAATTGACTAAAAACAAATTTCATTTCTTACTATTTTGCAATAGTTTTCCAGTTTACTACAGAAAATGAAAATGTCCACAGACAGACAGACAGATAACCTCTATGATTTTATGATAAGTATATAATATAATTATTTTTTGTGTAACAATGTAATCTAACAATAATAATGTAATATAATAATGTAAAATTTATAAAATAGTTGAAAATTAAAATAATGTATGTGAGAGGTTTACTTTATTCACATTTGAGGCATTCTATATAAAATCATCATATTAAAATAATGCTGATTTAACATCTTAGTGAAGAGACAACAAAGCAACTTTAATATTTAATATTCATTTAAGTTAGGGGATTTTAAACAAACAAACAAAAAAATTTGATTGAGGAATTTACACTAATAAATATTTGCTTGAGGAATTCAAGAATAACACTCTAGAGATTTTATAGCTTTAAGAGAGTTTATTAAATTTTATTTAAGAAATAACTTGTTTATTAAATTTTATTTAAGAGATAACTTGTTTATTAAATTTTATTTAAGAGATAACTTGTTTATTAAATTTTATTTAAGAGATAACTTGTTTATTAAATTTTATTTAAGAGATAACTTGTTTATTAAATTTTATTTAAGAGATAACTTGTTTATCAAATTTTATTTAAGAAATAACTTGTTTATTAAATTTTATTTAAGAGATAACTTGTTTATTAAATTTTATTTAAGAGATAACTTGTTTATTAAATTTTATTTAAGAGATAACTTGTTTATTAAATTTTATTTAAGAGATAACTTGTTTATTAAATTTTGTTTAAGAGATAACTTGTTTATTAAATTTTATTTAAGAAATAACTTGTTTACTAAATTTTATTTAAGAGATAACTTGTTTACTAAATTTTATTTAAGAGATAACTTGTTTATTAAATTTTATTTAAGAGATAACTTGTTTATTAAATTTTATTTGGAAATATTGAACTGTATATTATCAATTTTGCTAAAATAAAAGTAGTCACCTAAAATCTCTAAAAAAAGTTTTAACCATAAATTTTGTGACAAGGCATTGAAATATCTTTAAAAAACATTTTTAATAATGAACGTTTTTTTTTAGTATTATTTAGTGACTTTACTAGGACCTATACAGTGATGGGTATAAAGAGGGGCAGGTCGGAAACTCGCTGCTACCCCCAGATTTGAAAGAAAAAAAAAAACAGAAAAAACAAACAAATAACTAAATTACAAAAGTATGGGAAAATTTAACTTAAAACAAATTCCTTAAATCTTTCATTAGGAAAATAGTTAAAGTGCAACTTTTAAATGAAAAACACTTTTGCTTACTTTTAATATATTTACTTTTAATATATTTGCTTACTTTTAATATATTTATGTGTCCTTGTTAATACTTTTGGTGTGCACTGTCAAGGTCATAAAGGGGCCCTAAGATATGAGTTTGGGTTAATTAGCAGAACCAAGAAAACTGCATAGTTCATTGCTTGGAATGCCGTGCTCTATCTATTAGTCAAGTTCTTTTTAAATTTAAATCATGCCCAAAGTAACCCAAAATATTAAACATAAGAAACCTTCTCCACCACCTAACTGTTTCAATATATCTTTCACAAATATTCATGGTCTTTGCATCAATTCCCATATTTGTCAAGAAATCAGATTTGAAGTCCGTAACTTCCGCATTTTTTAATCTCTTAACCAGATAGTTAATTTTGCAATTCATTTTTCAGACAATCCTAATCACTTACCTTCACTTCTTGATTTGTGTCTTACTTCCTAGTAACTCCCAACTTAATAGTGGTTGCTTTCAATAGACCTAAGATAAGGTATGATGTAGCATTAAACCTTTTTCCAGGGATTTCTGATAATAATCTCTAAATTAGCTTCAAAAATCAAAAATTTATGTGAATTTAAATAAAGCTGAATATTGGTTCAAATGTAAAGATCATGATCTACTACAATTCAAAAGTAAAAATCATGGTCTACAGCAATTCAAAATTAAAGATCATGATCTACTACAATTCAAAGTTTTGAAATTAGTGTTTTATGAAAATTTATTTTTATCTTAAAATTTTTAAATTTTAAATAGTTAATTCATTTCATTTTATTTTACTATATTTGATTGCTTTTATTTTACGTGATATTTTAGCTTTAACTCTAGGCTCCTTCATAATATTTTAGCTTTAACTCTAGGCTCCTTCATAATATTTTAGCCTCGACTTTAGTAACCTTTGTTGGAGCCTTAGGGAGGTTATTCTAACTAAACAAAAAAAAAAAATTGCAGCATTAAAGTTTAATAAAATTATATTGTAGGTTAAGTTTTTTATTACTCAATTTTTACTTTCTTGCACTGATACTTGTGTAATCATTGATCGTATAAGTTAAAATAAAGTCACTTCAATTAAAAGTACTCAGTTGTTTCTATTTTAGACCATTAAGTAAAACTGGGATAATTTGAACTAAATAAATAGAAGATTTATTCAAAATCTGCAGGAATACACAGAGTTCATTTTATTATTTTTAATTTATGAATATTCACTTGAGTAAACTTAAGTTACATAGTAGAAACACATTTATAAATAATTATTAAAAAAAAAAGTATTAACTTAATAATTCCTTTTTTATATATACAAAACATCTTAATGGTTATATACTAAATCAAATTAAGTTTTGTTGTATTTTAATTTAAAATCAATTTTTAATAAAAACAATTTTTTTTATTAGTTTAGAATTTTGGAAAGTCAACCAAAACAACTTGCACTTTACATAAACCTCATAATGTTCCCTAGCCTATGATATTAGTATAGACCTTTGAGCCATTTTTTCTCTTTAGACTAATAACCATTGATGGCTAAATATTTGTTTATTATTATTAAAAGTTGATTATAAAATTGCTGAAAGTTGAAATAAAATCATAAACTTAATGAGAATTTTTCAAAATATATTTTTAAAAACCTACTGATTCCCACTTATGGGTAAGAAAGAATCATTACATATATTAAAACAAATGATAAAAATTTACTGTCTAAAATAGTGGATAACATAATAATATTTTACTTCTAAAAATATTATTTACAATTTTCATGAAATATTTACAATAAAGTAAATACATATTATCTTTATCATTTACATTTAATTTTTATTCTATTACTATTAACTCATAATTTACCATCTTTTCTGTATAAACCATGTCCATTTCTTTAGTAACATTTTCCAAATTTATATTAAAAATTTATATTATAAATTTATATTTATATTTTCCAAATTTATATTAGCAGCCTTTAACTAAAAATTAATATATTCAGAAAAATAATTTTTAATAACTAAACACTTTTTTTTTATCTAACTTAAAAAATTAAAATGCTTCTTATTGCAGTTGACATTATAAAGTACCTGGATGTGGTAAGTACCTGGCTGTGGCAAGAGTCTGGCTGTGTTATGTCCCTGATTGTGGTAAGTACCTGGCTGTGGTAAGTACCTGGCTGTGGTAAGTACCTGGCTGTGGTAAGAATCTGGCTGTAGTAAGTACCTGGCTGTGGTAAGAATCTGGCTGTGTTATGTCCCTGATTGTGGTAAGTACCTGACTGTGGTAAGTACCTGGCTGTGGATTCAAAACAGTACTAAATACTAAATATTGCTATAATAGTGCTTTGCATAAACTGTTATGTTCAATCGTTTTCATTTTAAAAGCAACAACAATCATTTTAAGGCTTCAAAATGTGACTGATAAATTGATAATATTGCACTATTCAATTTGATAAACAAAAGATTATTAATTAATTATAACTAATTAAGTGTAATCATGTAATATGTTCATAAAACAGCTGATGCAAACAACTAATCTTTTAAACTTTCTTTCAATAGCCAGAATAGAAATTCATAAAAATACAATGTATATGGAAAAAAATGTTAAATTATTTGCTAATGAAAAGTTTGCTGCTGTTTACAAATTGCACAAAAAACAAGAACATTTACTTTGCATGGTGTCCCTGAAGGGCTGCTCAGAAAAATAAAACTAAAAAATATGTAATACAAAAAGTGTGATTTCTGCCAAAATGCAAAATATTTTAAAATTAGATGCATTAAAATTAGGTACTTGTATTAAAATTAGACGTCTGCACACAATAATGAAATCCTATTAATCCCTAAAATTATTCAACAAAGGAGAGTGACTAGGAATACTTTAAATTTTATAACATAACTTTAATCCACCCTATTAAATCCCCTTGACATAACATGAATAGAAAAATTTGATTGAGTAACAGTAGAAATTTTTAATGATTATTAAACTATAAGGATGAACTACCAAACTATTAGGATAAAGTCAGACCTTTTATATTATAGGAAGAACTCTTACTCCAACAAATTTTACAACTCAACCAGTTAATTGCTGCACACTTGCTATATATAGTTATCTGCCTATTAAATTAAAAATGAAAAGACTATGCAGATTATCTGCATAGTTTGATTATAGATCATAGATACCCTCTCACTGAAAATTTGTTTAAACAAGCTAATATTTTCAAAACATTCTTTGCATGTGTTTAACATTGATAGTAGTTTTAAAAGTATAACAATAAGTATTGAAAAGTATATATTAATATATTGAATATAAATTTTTTATCTAATCATGTTTTCTATATAAAAAGGATTGAAATCCAATAGATTTATTTATACTTACGAGTTTCCTAGTACGGCTTTCTAATTTCATTATAGCTTTGATTATCATACTTAACCGGAAATTTTCAGTTTTCAAATTTAAGTAAAGTTTAAAAAAAAGCTTATATAAAATGATTTTTAATAAATTGAAAAATTTTTACAACTAAAGCAACATAGCTTCATGTATTAGCAGAATATAGAAATCCCCTTTGACTGAGACAATGGTCTAAGTTCATGTAAAAATTTATGAAAATACTTTAAAATAACTAAGTGTCTTTTTAGCTATTCTAACTTAAGTAACCAGTAAACTTCCACAAACAAATAGTTCTATCTGCTTATTTTATTGTGGCATTTCTAACATGCACAAAAGAAGGTCCTAAACAATAACTTATATAAACAATAACTTAATGTTTTTTCAATAATTTTACAGATTAAACATAAATCACTCTTAAATCTTAAATAAGAAAAAATAGGAATTATTTAAAAATTATTTTAGGTATTTCTTCGATTTTTAATATTATTTTTTAAAAGTTTTTAAAGTAAATTTAAAGTCATAATTATTTAGAATCTGAAATAATTATAATGTAAACAAATAAATAAATTACAATTTTACAAATATTAATCCAAAAAATAAAAAATAAATTGTATTTTGGTCTAAAGCTAAACTTCACATTCATAAGATTTAAATAAAAAGCTAACTAATGTAAATACGTTGGATAACTAATGTAAATACGTTGGATAACTAATGTAAATACATTGGATAACTAATGTAAATATGTTGGATAACTAATGTAAATATGTTGGATAACTAATGTAAATGTCTTGGATAACTAATGTAAATATCTTAGATAACTAATGTAAATATCTTGGATAGGGTTGTTTTAAAAACATAAAACTACTCAGAATCTGTGATAACAAGTGTGAAACTTTATTTTTTCAACATCCACTCCCAATAACCACCACCAACCAAGGCAACTAAAGTTTTTATTATACTATACGTATATCTAATAGCTAATAAATTACCTAACTTATAAAAAAATGTTGATGCAAATATACCATTCTGAAAATTATTTGTTAAACAAATCATTTGTAGTAGCAATAATTAAACAGCTTTTTCTTTACATACAAGTTTCAAATTTTTCTTTACAAAAATTGATTGATAATTATGAAAAAAAAAACAGATTAAGAAGCTTAATTTTGCTCTAACTTATTGATATACAATAACTTCCCAAACGACAGGCGTCTTTTTTCAACGAAAAAAATAAAAAAATTAATTTGATAGCTCATTTAAGAATTCAAAATATGTGGCTAACTCAACCTCTGGACATGTTCCAATATCACCTTTTGGCTTCTTTCTATAAGTTGGTGAAACTCAAATCTAAGAGTGTAAAGTCAGCTGACAAGTTTGCTGCAACGTTCAAGAACAACTTTATCTTTCTTTAGAAATGAGTTAATGCAATTTGAAGAGTTTGCAAAAGTGTATCTTGATGAAAAACAAACGAACATGAGCATGGAAATTTTTGTGTTCACTTATACACAAGAAAGGTGTACAGAATGAGTTCCTTAATTTTGAGATTGTGCTCTGTATTTGTAAGCGCTGATGATAGCAAACTCATTAGCTGAAATATTGTTTTGTAAAATGAAATTGATCAAGTATAGGCTGCTTACCTCAATGCTTCGCAAATCACTAACCAGGCAGCTTACCTCAATGCTTCACATATAAGCATGAAATTACCATCAAGGTCAAAAAAAATTTTCTCTAAAAATTTTTGTACTAGGTCATAGGTATATGCATGGAGATGATTTTCACAAAATTTTAAAAATATTTTGCGACCTCCAAGAAAGTTATGACTATTTTAACGCTTCGGTCAAAATCCTAAATTAAAGAAAATATATTTTTTTTCTTTTGTTTTCAAAACAAAGGTTCCAAATTGATAAAACTTTAAAGTAAAATAGTTTCCTTGGTTTCCATTCAAGAAAAGCAATACTAATAAAAATTTATGGTTTTATGAAGAAAAAAAAGTCAACTTTTTTAAACATTGAAAATGAACATTTTTAAACATTCATAATTTTGCATTTGTCATTTCTGTGAAAATCAAGAACTGCAGTAGCGCATAAATGTTTGTGGTCCAAATGTTGTTAATACCTTTGTATAGTTTTGTGTGTAATTGCTAATGTGTTTTTATGGTTAATTTAAAATTGCAAATATGTTTATGTGGGTTGTAATCGTCATATTTGAGGTATGTGATTTATAATAAATTGCGATTAAAATTTTGTAAGAAACAAGTTCTCGTAAAGAAAAAACATCTTAATTTAATGTTGTATTTCTGCGAGAAAACTACACAATGCCTAACAAGACTTTATCACACACTGAAAAATGTACTAAAATATGTCTGGTTTGCTTTAAAAAAGGATCAGATATGGTACCAACTAGAAAAGATTCGATAGTTCCAAGAATTCAGGAATACTTCATTGAGAACTATGATCCTAATGAAGAGTATTTACCTTCTACTATATGTGCAAGATGAGGACTAATTCTTCTTCTTAAGATTGAAAAATGGGAGAAAAAAATTATTATTCCCACGACTCTGACGAGATCAAATCCTTTTTACTGTTGCCTTATTTGTGAAGTTCCCCATTTTAAGCCAATTGGAATGAGCCAAGGATCAGTTAAGGCTATTTCTTTCCAAGTAGGAAGACCTCCAGTAGCAGCCAAAGATTTTTTACCACCTCGTGGGCCAGTTAAAGTATGCCAGCGCTGTTGGCAGCCAGTTGGTCATGGAATAGCACATCCAAACCCTTGTACAGTTCGAGATTTAAAGGAAAATCTTCAGACAGTTATTGGCTAAGCTCCCCATGTAGCAGAAATTATTGCTTCTGATGTGATCAAAAAAAATTTGCAGCATCTGGAGATGGAGGCTCAATTGCTATTTTAGCAACAAGAGGGAGGGATTTAACAGTCACATAAAAAATGTCAATTCTCAAAAATCAAAAGCAGATTGTAAAAAAAGTAGATTGCAATCTAAATTAGGTCTCTTTTTGAAACAAACTCTCAAAGTAGCTATTTTTTCAGAACTTGGAGTGGTCGCAAATCAATTGAATCAGGTTTGGTTGGAAAATTAAGTCAATGAGAGAAAACACTTGATTTATTCTACAATTCTCCAATAATGGACTTTGATGTGACAAAGTGGAAAAGTTCAGCGCTCAGTTATTTTTTGTAATGACATTTTTGGTTTGGTTGAACACATCTTTGACCATCAAGACCTTCCACCAGATGATTATATGATCAAAGTAGGTATTGATGGAGGTGGTGGGTTTCTTAAGGTTTGTATGAATATATTGGATACCCAAAAAGAATAAAAAAAGCATAAGTTCTTCTTCAAAAGGTGCATCCTCTTAAGCTTTTTGTGACTCATGATTTTGGCAATTGTTGAGTCTGTAAAAGAATCTTATGAGAACTTGAACCAAACTCTAGAGTTGCTTTGCATTGAAAGTATTGCTTTTACTGCAGCTGTGGACATAAAACTTTTCTTGGAT